GGCGGCCGGGTGGGCACGGGAGGGGAGGGCGGGAGCCGCCCCAGACGGGAAGCCCCGCCCTGGTCCTCCGTCCTGGTCCTCCACGGTCGCGCTCGCCGGCGACCCCAGTGTCTGGCCCTGGTGGGCGGCGGGGGAGGCGAGGCGTGATCTCTGAGGTGTGCACACGTCGGTTACCTTTCTCTTGTCTCGTTATGGCAACAAATCACGCCTCTCTGGCTCTTTTAAAATCCACTTTTAAATAGAGCTGTGCACTGCATAAAGGCATGTTCGGTCAGCGTGGGATGGCGGTCTCATGAGATTATAATCCTGTATTTACTGCAGCTTTTTTTGTTTAGAGATGTTTAGATACACAAACACCATCGTGCTTACAGTTTCCTCGGTATTCAGTATAGTAACACGCTGTGTGGGTTCGTAGCCTTGGAGCCGTAGGCCGTAGCTTAGAGCCTAGGTGTGAGGTAGGCTATCCCATCTAGGTTTGTGTAGTGACACTACTACAAGACAAAATTGCTTCATGTTGTGTTTCTCCATTTCTCAGAATGTAGAATGAATGCGTCGTGAAGTGACGCATGTCTGTGAGATTTCCTCGTCCACAGTTCGTGACTTAAATATTTTATTCTTAGGGTGGTCCTTAGGGTAGGAGAGAATGTGCTCTACTGCCAGCTGAGAATTACGTGGTAGTAACTTGTGTGTCCTATGTCTGAGTCTGGGATTGATGGTATATGAGCATTCACTAGCCGATTTGTCTGGCATAGGTCACTTCACATAACTTTGAAGTCTGGCATAGGTCACTTCACATAACTTTCACAGAACATTTCATTTCCACCTGCTTATTGACATTTCCCAGGAAACATATGTGGAGGGTAGCTTTTCTAAAGCTTAGAGTCATTGAGATTAGGGGCTCCAATGAAATCAGTAAACCTTTTCAACTCAATTTTCTTTTTAATTTTATTACAACTCATGATTCATAAAGACTTTGTTTTCACAACAATAAAATAGGCTCTATTGGTATCCCCATTTATGGATGAGAAATTGGGGCACAGAAGGGTCTGTACAGTTTGACTCCAGAGTCCAAGTTCTTATCCACCCTGCCTGCTGCCATTATCAAGTCAGTCATCCACATGGGTAACTGTATTACATGTACATTGTGATAAGCGCTTGAACTTACACACAGGCTTCTGGGAAGCAAAGTGTGGGTGCTTGTCTCTTCCAGGGGAATCATTACAGACTTAACAGAGAAGGTGATCCCAATGTTGGACCCAGAGGTGCAGAGAGACTGAGGGGCAGAAGCAGAAGTGTGAAACGGCATATTGAATTAGTGGAATATTCAGTGTTTTACTGTATGTGAGGATAAGAGGGGAAACATGATGGGAGGAGAGATAGAAACCAAATAATGAAGTGCCTAGTTGTATATAAGAGCAAGAGATAGAAACATAGCTTTGGCTGACTTAAGCAGAAAGAGGAATTTATTGCTTCAGAAACCAAACAAGAGTTCAACAGAAAATTAGAGATGCCAACTAGGCCTCAAGAAGCCAGAACCAGGATCTCAAATGGCTAGGACTCTCCATTTCTTATTTCTAACTGTCTGGGTATTGGCAACTTTCTATACTTGGCAAGAATCATGGATGCTGACAGCTTCTGGGTCATATAAACTGACAGCTTCTGGGTCATGGGTATATATTATATATAAAAATTTATATATTAACATCTTGCAGCTTCCTGCATCTTACCAAAATCCCAGGGGAAGGCTCTGATTGGCCTAGCATGGTTCAGGTGCTAGCTGGCATAGGAAGGACATTACGTTGTCACATGGAAAGGTTATTGTCACAGAGGGTGGAGTTGGAGAGTTCCCAGAGGAAGAGAAATGGCATTCCTGAAAGAAGTGCAGTTGCTGAGCCAAGAAAATAATACACCCACTATATCTTACTGAAGCCAATCATTATTAACTAATGCTGACATCTCTGGATTCTTTTACAAAGGGAAATGATTTTATGCAGGATCAGATATACCACTTAGAAAGGCCAGGCATCTTATAAAATAGTTTGAGGGTAGAGAGGAAGTTCATTAGGAGGCTGCTGCTTAAGTGTGAGGAAGAGTCGATAAGTAGTTTAACTGGAGAAGAGAGGACAGTTTGAAGGAACATTTGGCAAAATCAGTAGGACTCTGACTGACTGGATGTGGGCAGAGGGAAGGAGGATGACTCAGGTTCCTGGCTCAGGCAGAGCATTAAACCAAGTGCAGGCTCTTCCATCTGAGTACAGGGCCCTCCCAAGCATGGGACCCTTTGTCAACTGCACAGTTTGCATGTCCTGGGAGTAGGATTGCCTGTCTGCTTCTCATGGAAGGATCTGCAGCTTTGTATATTCCAGCATTTTATAAATACAAGTCCCAGTGAGCTCTTTTTTTCAGTTCACTTCTCTCACATTTTTTCAGATTTTTCAGTACATTTCTCTAGGTTTTGTTGTGTTCCCTCTGCTTCTAAAGCTGATTCAAACCACGAAATCTCCAGAGAGTGGGAGGAAAACCCACAGTGATACTTGCTTCTGACTCTTGGGTAGCTTCCCAGTCTTTCCAGTGCCTGAACTTGGTGTGCCCTCCTTGTGTTAATGCTTACAGCTGCTGGACCTGACTGTGTAGGTGGAAGTTCATCTTGGAAGAGGGGACCTGGTAGGAACAGGAAGAGGGGGAAGCAGGCATGAGAATACAATGATATAATCTCTGGAGAATCTAAGTGTTTGGGAATGCATTGTATTACATTCATGGGCTTTAATTAATATTTCCTAAGTGAAAATAAAATCCATGTGTGCCACTTAATCAGTAGTGTTTCACTCTTCATGTACTTTTACACAGAAAGTTTTGTTTTTGTTTTTGTTTTGTTTCTTCGTGCAAATCAGGGTGTTCTACTGGCTGCCTTCTTTCAGCTACTCTAAGAAGTGGCTGAAGAGCCAGACTGTATTTTCCCCAGATGTAGGGCTCTTAACTGACCTTCATATATCTGCTGTGCTTCTAATTCTCTGACTATAGGATAATGCTCTGGGCGTTGTTTAGCATTTTTCATTATTTTCTTTGGATTCTATATTCAGAGATTAAAAATACTTAAGATGATGCATTTTAGTTGTATTTATTGAACAAGTTTTTAGATTTTATTTTTCATTGTATTCTGATTCGTGATTCATACAGACTTTGAAAGGTTCACATTTTGATTCTATATAAAAGAAAACCTAAAGATTTGAAAAGTAAGTCTTAAAGAGCTCTGTCACTAAATTTGGCAGCACACAGCAATAATGCAATTACTTTATAAACTAAATGATTCCATTTTAAGTGAACAAAGAATCAGAATGAGATTTGAACCAGAATGAAGTAAATTCCTGACAGAAAGGAGTTTACTTGTACTACAAAAGAAAATTTACTTGTACTTTTCTTATCAAAGGGTTGTCTTTATTTTGGATTGTCTTAATGAGTAGTAATTAGAATACTAGGTATCCATTTCAAGCTTATCCATTCTAAGGAAATAATTTATTGTAATACATTGTTCAGGTTTTGCATTGGCCATAATATAATTGTGATAATGTAACAAAACTAGGAAATATTACTTGAAGTAGATGCTTGTGAAGTCAACAGAAGATACTCCTCTCCAATTCCAGTTTATATATGGTTATTTTATTTTATTAAATAATCACAGATGTTTAAGTAGTTTTTCTCAATTAAAACCAACAAAACTTTGCATATTGTTTTCATGTAACTTTTTTAAGGCTTTGTTTTAACATTGGTAAAATATATATGATAATCCCCTCTTCACAAGATGGTCAAAGTGATTATCTGAGATAATGCATAAAAAAGTTGAGCACAGTGGATGTTCTGTAATAAATGTTTAATATAGGTCAGTGATTATCATTCAATAATGGACATTATTATTATTTTTGAGTTGAAGTCTCACTTTGCCACCCAGGCTGGAGTGCAATGTCATGCTCACGGCCACCGCAGGTTCAACCTGCTGGGCTCAGGTGATCCTTCCACTTTGGCCTTCCAAATAGCTGGAACCACAGGCACAAACCACCATGCATGGCTAATTTTTTGATAGAGACAAGGTCTCACCAAGTTGCCCAGACTGGTCTCGAACCCCTGGACTCAGTCAGTCCTCTTGCCTCTGCCTCCCAAAGTGTTGAGATTACAGGCATGAGCCACTGTACCTGTCTTAATGGGTATTATTATTTTAACAAGTATATCTTTTGATATCAAATTGTTTTATGAGAAATTGTACTGACTTTTTAAAAAACAAGCTCATCCAGATTAATATGAAAAAGTATATATTTATTTATTTAATTTTTTAATTTTACCAGATCTTACCTACTTTCCTTCATTTCCTTCTTGCCACGGTATACAGCTAGTTTTCTTTGCTTTTCTCTGAGAAATTTAAAATAAGGTCAGCGACTAACTCACTCTTCCACCTCTTTTCAGTTTTTCATAGACTGAACAGGCCTGTTTTGTTTTTTTAGTTTCTAAACTATTTCTCAATTTAGAATGAATTAGTCCAAAGGGAATAAATTAATCTTGAGAAATGACTTCTCTCAGGAACTACAT